GAGCGAGCTCTTTGTAGAGCCACCGTAGGCGGGACCCAGTCTGCCCTGAAGCTTCCACATATTCCCTGACAAAGCATCTAAAGATGCTGGTGTGTTACTGCCTTTAGAAAGGCTTTTTTAAGCATTTAGAAATGCTGATATTCAGTCTATTGGACTGATTTGAAGGCATTCAAAACGCTGTCAGCGGGGTGGCTTCGGCCCGATGCGCCTCGGAGCGAGCTCTAGCTAGTGAAGCCACCACGCCCTAAATTGCCACATTCTCTCGGCCGCGCCTCGGAGAGCACTCGTAGAGCTACCAGGCGGGACCCGGGCTGCCTGGAGCTTCCACGTTTTCCCTGACAGCATCTAAATATGCTGGTGCCTTTACAAAGGCTTGTTTATAGCATTTACAAATGCTGATATTTTTAGCAGATGACACCGTTGCTAAAGCTAAAGCAAGCTATTCAATTGCAATGAAGGTGTCAGCTTGCTTTTACTCTCGAGATAGTTTTGGGGCGGGGCGGGAACATGCGTGCGTGACTGCGTGTGACTGCGTGACTGCGTGAAGCCGTGAAGCCAGCCCGGGCCGGAAAGGGCATGGGGGAGGGGGGCTCAGACCGCCCGCTCTCCAGCGTCACAGGGACCCCCCCTCCCCCACCCCCCCTCTAGCTAGGCAAGGCTCGGCCGGCTCGGCTCTCAAGCAGGGGCAAAGCGTGGCCTGCTCAGCTCGTATCGCCTTCGGCGCTAGGTCGGCTTCGCTCGGCCGATACCGATGCAGGATGCAGCGTGGCACTGCCAACGACGCCGCATGCCGCTCGAGCGGCGAGGGGAGCGGGGGCCCCGCACTGCACAACAACAACAGTGTCGCCGGCTGACCTGAAGGAGCGCGTTGCGTGTGTGGAGTAACAGACAAGATATGTGGGAAGAAGCAGGCGAAGCGGCAAATATTGGCCTAAGCTATGGCCCCCAGGAAGCTGACCGAAGAACAACGAGAGCGTAAACGTGAAACGGCAGCTGTATCGCGAGAAACGAGTCGAAAGTTGTCAATTTTGGTGAATGAAGTGATAAACAAGCATACATTAAAAAAAACATTCTCATTAGTATGTCATCTGCTTCCACGTAAGCGTTAGCGTTAGCGTTTTTTTAGCCTAAAGGCTGATTTTAAGGCATTTTTAACGCTGTCTGCGAGAAACCGTGGTTTCAGCTTGGGGTGTCTTGCCTGACCGCGCCTCGGAGAGCACTCGTAGATCTACCAGGCGGGCCCCGGGCTGACCCCTGGAGCTTCCACGTTTTCCCTGACATTAGCAACTTAAAATGCTGGTATTAGGTATAGCCTTTACAGGCTTTAGCCTTTACAGGCTTCTTTTATAGCATTTACAAAATGCTGATATGTAGCCTAAAGGCTGACATAAAGATCTTAAACGCTGCTGTCTGCGAGAAACTGTGGTTTCAGCCTAAAGGCAGGGACCTGCTCGGCGTGCTCTTGCGCGCTGCATTGCCAGGTGCGAGTGAGGCGCGATGATTGTTTGAAATCAGATCCCCGCCGAGTTATTGAATCCTAAGGTTGATATCCCTTGGAATGCACCTCTTCTCCCTCGATCTGCGGCCATCTTTCCCCTCGCCTCCGACTGTCACGGCGAGGCACTTTAACCTTCGCAATTTGGTGAATACAGCCGTGACATTGCTATGAAGTTGCCGTGAAGACGTGGAGACAGCTTGGTTGGGGCAACATGGCCATGCCCACGTGGCAGGGGCAATATCATAGCACTGTCACGGCGAGGCACTTTAACCTCCCTAAAATTTGGTGAATACAGCCGTGACATTGCTATGAAGTCGCCGCCAAGACGTGGAGACCAGCTGATCCCTAAACATCTTATGATCGTTTTTGGCCCGTCCCGTTTATTTTTTGTAAAAAAATGACGGAGGGACGGGCATATAGTATGATGCATGCTGTGCGTGCGTCCGTCCGAGGACTTCCCGTGGTCCGATCTTGACCAAATTTGGTATTCAGCCTCCTTCACTCTCATTCCAGGAACGTGACATCACGTTGAAACGAACGTGACAAAATGTCCGTTCTTTTGAGCATTGTGTCACATTTGTTTGGGTGTGAATTGGGCTAAAATCAGCTTGTTCACATTCAAACGAACGTGACACAATGCTCAAACGAACGTGACACTTTGTCACGTTCGTTTCAACGTGATGTCACGTTCCTGGAATGAGAGTGATTGGGTGACCCTCAGAACCCCCCGGGTGGCAGCAAATCCGATCCGACCCCCGGGGGGCGCTGCTGCAGGTGCATCATGGTCAAATGGGGTCGAGGAGGATTTCGGCAACGGATACAGCTAGGAGGGCATGTAGGGGTATTTTTGGAATCGGGGCGACGAAATAAAACCAACGGTGCCAGTTTCAAGCGAATCGGAGAAGTTTCGACCCGGGTTCAAATCCCAGTGGGGTATATTTTGGACATTCTTTTTATTCAAATTTTTGCATTGTTTCTGGTGTTTTTGAGGGCGCTGATGACGAAAATACCATTTATTTTGACCCCAGACTCAGGTTCAAATCCCGTCAGGATTAAACATAGGTGAAATTCGCACATTCCCTGATGAACGGGACGGGCCAAAGTTGCAGATGTATATCGCTACTTTTCCTGTTATTATACGTAATACGATGGTTTTTCATCGTAAGGTACGCATAAATTTGCACATACGTAATATGCTTAATTTTTCATCGTAATACGCATGAATTTCATCGTATTACGCATGTATGTCATCGTATTACGCATGAATTTGATTGTAGTACGTATGTTCTCATTTCAACGTATGTTACAATGGCCCTTTCATCATATAAGAATCTGAGGGTGTGGAGACGCTCCACTCGGGTTTTAACTCTGCCCTCCTAGGTGCAATATTCGACATGAACATCTTCATGTTGCCCCAACGTTGCCATGTGACGGCCAGGACGCGGTCAGTGCAACACCGTAGTGGTGACGTTAGCACAACCTCGTCATGAGGGATTTATTGCCGTAACGTTACAGGAGTGGCAGTGCTGCCGACTTAATTTCCTTTATGTTGCACTAATGTTGCCATGTGACGGCCAGGGCGTGGTCGATGCGACATCGTTGTTGTCACGCTAGCACTTCCACGAGATGTGGGCATCGTTGCCGTAACGTTACAGCAGTGGTAGTGCTGCGTACTTGTTGAACGTAATGATGCCCCAACGTTGCCATGTGGCGGCCATGGCGTGGTCGGCGCAACAGCGTAGTAGTGACGTTAGCACATCCACTTTATGAGGGATTCATTGCCGTAACGTTACAGGAGTGGCAGTGCTGCAGACTTGTTTGCCGTTATGTTGCCCCAATGTTGCCATGTGACGGCCAGGGCGTGGTTGGTGCGACATCGTTGTTGTCACGTCAGCACTTCCACGAGACGTGGGCATCGTTACCGTAACGTCACAGCAGTGGTAGTGCTGCATACTTGTTAAACGTAATGATGCCCCGCCGTTGCCAAGCGAAGGCCGGGGCGCCGTTAGCACGCCATCGTAGGCATGACCTTAGCACTACTACGTGAATATAGTATCGTTGCCGTAACGTTACAGCATGGGTAGTGCTACAGACTTGTTCACCGTTATGTTGCCCCAACGTTGCTTTTCTTAAGGCCAGGGCACCGTAAGCGCGTCGTCGTTGGAGTGACGTTAGCACTTTCACGTGTGTGTGGCTTCGTTGCCGTAACGTTACAGCATGAGTAGTGCTACAAACTAATTCCCCGTTATGTTGCCATTACGTTGCCATGTGATGGCCAGAGCGCCGTTGGCACGACAACGTAGAGGCGCCATTTCATAGCCTACCTAGACGCGGCGACATTGACTCAATCTCTTGGCAACGTGACTTCGCTACACTGAAGGCTAGTTTGGCTGTCGCTATGTTGACCGATAGTGGCCATAGCTGCGTAGGAGCAGCGTTGTGGCCGCAACGTCGGCGGGGCAACAGCGTACAGGCTACGTCGGGGCAACGTTGCGGCGACCAAAGCACCAGCACATCAGACCCCAAAGGTGGCAATGTCGTTGCCGTTTGGCTGCCGCAGAGACGTACAGGGAAGGCCCGGAATTGAACGTTGTGGAGAGGCGTCCACACCAACGTGAGACGGAACACATGGCTGTTACGTTGTGGTGACAATACTGGGTATGGTTACGATGCACTAGTCGCAGCAGCGTTGCAGCAACGTGGACACCATTGCGTACGGGCGTGAGTGTTGCGACAACGCAACTACGACGTTTCCTTTAAGATGTAGCTGCGTTTGCTTTTTTTTAAGTCAGGCACAACGTGATCTGGGCCCAAACCCTCGCATGTGGCATGGTTGCCATAACAACGCCAGACAACGAAAACGGCCCGTAACGAAGGCCAACGTAAGACACGTTGTGACAACGTAATTTCCTGAAATCATGCCCGTCGGGTTGGGAAATGTACACCGCGCTGATTCTCATACCATTAGCAGAACGTCGCTTTTAGCCTCTCTGCAGGCGCTTCGTTACCGAACGACATGAATCCACGTCACACAACAACGGCAATGGCAAGCCAAAGACAACCGCGCGCGACTGACCGCGACGATAACACATAATCATTCCATGTTTGTTGATATATCTGTGTAAAAAAGAGACGAGGTTATCAAGCGGCCTTTAGTTGCCGCCTTTGTCTCTTCTTCTGTCTACCTAGAAGAAGGATGCATGTTGGTAAGTACGTAGAAAACCTGTAATTTATGCAACTATTTTCGCGTCTAATCGCTCTACATTGACAAAACAGTCCCTTAAAATGCTATCTCTTGTTCTGCTCCTGTTTCAATCGTGATCATCATTCCATGTATCGTAAATGGTGGCCGAAAGTCGTTTCCCACCCGGGCATCCTAACCTGTGAAGTGTTAGCTGTCTGTTGTGAGATGTCTTGGTTCTGTCTACTGGCGCCAATCTTAATGTTCTTCCTTTTCTGTCTGCAGTCTTCTCAAGCTGTTCTCCAGCAACGTGGAGGACTTTGGAAATTCGACCTTTGGTTGGCATTTAATGGCCTGCTGTCTGCAACGTAAACCACACCACCAAGTTGGAAAGATCGTAGAAAATTCAACAGAAAAAGGTCCATGTGCTTCAGAAATGTTAAAAGAGAAGTTCGTCCATCGTCCCATTGTTTATCTGGACAGTGTCAAGGAATGGAATGTCAATGTAAGCCTGTATGTGATAGGGCTCAGTGCTTGGCATTTCGTGAAGCCAAGATCTCATTGTAGGCACTGCCAGACCACACCTTGTCCATGTTCCATTGTGTACGAACTTGGTTTTGCATGTGATGGAGGGCTTTCTGCATGATAGGATGGGAAGTGCCTTTGAAAAGACAAACAAATTATTGTAAGTAGCTGGTTCCTGTGAAGTGTGGCATTGTGTGTACTGTGATGATGTCTTATGTGTTTTGATTCTTTCTCAGGTTAAGAATCCCAAACAGATGTGACAAACCTTTTCAGTCTTTAGTGATGGATGTTTTTGATCTGTTTGTTTACAAAACATTTTGCACCCCACACAGCGGTATGGGTGACTTTGGATCTTGGAATGTAATAGGAAATGTATCATCCTCTCTAGTGGTGTTTGGTGTAAGTGCTGCTCATATGGTCCTTGGTGTTAAGTCATTTGTTCATGTCATGCCTAAATATTTTACTCCCTCCAAAGGTTGAATCTGATGAGGCTGCGGCCACATACTTTGCCGGCCTCGATGGTTATGGAGATGATTCAAGTCAACAGTTCACATCAAACTCTATTTTTCAACCAAATGATACAGAGTAAGTGCTCTTGTCTGTTGTTAATGTTACTCGTATGTGAAACACAATGAACCAGTTTTAACATCTCATTGTATGTAGGGTGGAGACTGAGCCTGCTGAGTTGGTGAGAGGCAGACCAGGAGGCCACAAAGTCGTTGAAACAGCAGCATCACAACTGAGTGTCTGCAATGTATGTATTCTTAAGTATTCTTATTATTCTCTCTGTGTTTTTTTCTCTTAATTTCCCCTTTTGAGTATGGAAAGAGTAGCTGTCTTTTCACAAATGAAGCTTTGTTTTATAAATTTTAGAAATTGGTTTCAAGTATATACCTTGTAGCTTATAAAAGTTTACAAATCAGCCTTGGTTTTTAAGAAGATTTATTGTGTTCTATTCTTTTGAAAACAAAGCAATTTAGGCAAGTCCCCCTAAGAAATTCTTGAAAATAAAATTTGTCTCCTCATAGCAAATGTCAACACTCTCAGCTTGCCAATCAGCAACCCGGTTTTCATAATGATAGTATTTTTTCTGTACAGGTTTACTGTAAGAAACATGAGTGCTTGCCTCGATTTCAGACTGAAGTTTGTGTGTGATGTTTGCAGGTGGTGGATGAACTTTCTATGCAAGAAGATGGAAGAAATGGAACATGAATCAGAACCTGCTCCAGAAGTAATGCCTTGTACCCAAGTGTCACACAGGGAGAGCATTCAGAAGAAATCAAATGATCCTTCTTGAGAGTTAAGTGTCCTGGATGTGCACTTTCCTTCCATGCTAGCTAGTCTGGCTTGCATGCTGTATCGCATCACACTTTAAACAGTCACAGAAGGTGAGCCAAGTTGTACAGATTGATGTTCACAGTTCAGGGAGGCAAAGGTTCCCAATTCAATAGAGTAAGTCTATTGAGGATCAGTGATTTACCAAAGAAAATAGTGTTTAAGAGGTTTTAGTTTATAAGTATCCTTCATTTTGACGTGTGAGTCGCCTTGGTGTCTACAGTAGTTGCTTTTAATTTACTTTTGAAGTGGTGTGCTGTTGTGTTTTATTCTCATGTCTAATTTTTATTTGGTTGTATTGAGCAGTTGAGTGTGTATGACTTTGTTACTTTGTTACTTCTCATGTTTTTATTTGCCTGCAAGGCATTCTCAAATTTTATTTCCTTGCTTTGTACTGTTTTGATTTTTCTTTTAATATTAACTTGAAAAATTAGCATCCCACCTTGTTTGAAGTGTCAAGTTAACTTTCACTAGATTCTAGTATGACTGAATGAAAGTGGCAAAAGGAAGGTGGTGGAGTGATGTGAATCATAGTGAGCTTTTGTCTGTAGTGTTTGTTATTTGTCATCAATTCGTTTTTTGTGTCATCATGATTGTTGTCCAGTTTATTTTTTTTTATTTGTAGTAAATATTTACCTGCTGTAAACAGTGTATTTGTCATTGTTTCCAACTGTCCGTAGCAGAAGATAATTTAAGTTCACTAGGTTAACAACAGTTTGCATTTTATATATTCGCTTCGTGTGGACTGTGAGTTGTGGTGTCAATCGTGTTTTGTATACCCTAATTCGGTCAACAACCCTGTAGGCCAGCTTGAGAACAATCATGTTGTTATATTGCTGTTTGATATTTGTTTATAGAATTGTAGGGCATGTTTGTGTGAAGTTTCTTCGTTTTACCTGTCCAGCTTATCTTGGTCCTCAGCTTTCCGCTGTTTGTTTTTTTTTGTGTTACCTGGCTTTATTATCTAGAATGTATCTCTTATCTGCTCTTTGCCACTCGATCCCTTATCTCCTATAGCCACTTGTACATTGTGGAGCTTTCATCATATTACAATAAAACTCATTTCTTTATCTTACTTTCATTTCACTGACCCCTCGACATGGAAACATGCCTCAAAACAAGAAAGCCGTACATCATATGAACTCTTTTGTTTGTGCCACAAGAATTATTACTTATGTCCTTGACATTGTGTTCTTTGTCTGTTGCAATCTGGGAATCAGGAAATAAAGTTATCGTTTTTATCTCTCTTGGTAACTATTACCTCTAGTGAGCTTTAAAAAAATCAAGCTTTGATTTGCTTGACCTTAAAAAAATGACAGTTTAAGTGGTCATCCTCTTCATCGGGTTTTTATTTTGGTCAATTCATTTACAGACATGGATGAAATTTGCTGTTTGATAAGACTCAGTTCTCTGGCATATAATATGCAGTCCTCGGCGTTGTCGTTGCCCAAACCACCTTGTAGAACGATTAGCAAGTACATGCTGCACTTTTGTTGCAAGACTTCTTTGTCGGTTGCCGCGCCAGGGCTTGGCGTCGGTCGCACGTCGCAGTCGCATTTTCGTTTCTTTCGCGGCGCTGGTGGAGGGGGTGGGGTGCAGGGTTGTCAATTGCTCAAATGAAAGTTTCATTTATTTGTGTGCACTTGCGAGAAGTGTTATCTCCTTTCAAACATGTCGATTTAATTACGAGTATTGGCTGTAATTTGGAGCTCCTGTTGTTTGATGAGACAGATGTCGGAAAATATCATTTTGAACGAAGCACCAGGGAGGGCTAGTGGGTGCCATGCCATGTTGCCATATTTCCCCTCCGAGGAGGCGGAACGTCGGTTCCATTTCAAAATGCAAGGTTCGAGGTGCCTAGAGCGTCCCACCTACCCACCCCTATATCCTCGATACCGTTTGCACTCTATAAATTTATAAAATGTCAAAGTTGTACTGTTACTGTCGACGAGAGTCTGATAATAGGTCTGTATGATGAGATATTTCTGAGATATTCACATTCACAACAACCGTGACTGCGACCATGGGTGCTCACACAAGTTCTGTGTTGTCTTTCTCAGATGTATGATATTTTGCGAGCTATGCACTGAGTGGTTCCATTTCGAATGTGTTGGTGTAGTCGAAACTAATATTCCAAGTAAGTTTGATTTGTGTTAACCTCTGCTCCTTCTAAAATGTCCCAATGTTTTGAAACCAATTTATCATTTTCAGAAGGGGCATGGTATTGTAAATGGTGTGAACGAATCCGAAAGGTTAGTATACATGTATGTATGTATGTATGTATGTTCAATTTTAAAGCAAATCACTTCTAATTTAATTTCTTTGTTTAGGTTAAAAGCTCACTTGTGAAGACGTTTCATGACGAGTTGGTTGAAGTAAAAGCAGATCTCACCAAGAAATTTAACGAAGAAGTGGCAAAAGTGAGAGCAGAGTCTAATCAACAAGTTTGTATTCAACAGGTACGGTAGTTTTCTGTATAATTTGACATTCAACTCTCAGAATTTTATCCATCCTGTATTATAATTGGGGGTTGTTAACAGGAAGTACAGCGTCTACAGCAACAGGTGACTGTGTTGCTAGAAGAGAAAAGAGATCTGATTAACCAGAATAAAGATAAGGAATACCTTTTGCTGCAACTAAAGAACAAGGAAACAGCAATGGTGACATCAGAGGTGGGTTATTCTAGCCTTGTTTGCTCTTAATTTGTTCCTCACAGCACTATCTGTGCACAGTGCTTACCTCTTTCCTTACTTTTTATGATCAGCAACACAACAATGAACTCATTGAACAAATATCTACATTGAAACAAAACTTCAGTCAGGAAAAGCAGCAGTTACAAATAGCTCTGGAAAGGTCAAACAAGGTACTTAAATATTGTCCCGATGTCTTGGTGATACCATTAATTTTCTTTTACTCATCACTTTCCGTTTTTGTGCATGTTTGTTATTGGATGCAGGAGTATGAATCAGCAAAGATTGGGTTGGCTGAAGCTACTTTAAAGTTACAGTCAATGGAAACAGCCATGTTGGCATTTGAGGTGAGTACCTATTATTGCCAATGAGTGGTAGTATTGTCCAGCTTCAAAAGGTTGCGCTTTTGACAAAGAAGTCCCATTGACTTAAATATTGTTTGTTCTTAACCAGTTTGCTGAAACTGAACTGGATTATCTTTTAAATGATAAATCCTCTTGATTTTTTGTTTAAAGTGTTTCATAGTTTTTCACTACCCTGTAGTATTTTAAGTAGGAAAACTTTTCAACCAAAAGTGCTTTGGTGGTGGAGTCAGGGTATTAATTGTCTCTCTTATCCCAAACAGAAAGAAAAACATGTCCTTCAGCAGTTGTCTCAAGACCTCAATCAGGAAAAGCAAAGGCAGGAGAGAGATCTGGAAATATTGGCTAAGGTATAGTTTACTAAATTGTTGCATGATTTAATTTGTTGTACTTGTGCTTTTGAAGCTGTGTATGATTGCAGGAGAATGAAGAATTAAAGGAAAAATTAGCTGCAGCCAGAAAAAGAGGTCGCTTAAGTTTAAGTCAAAAGATATGAGGACACCGCAAGGGATTCATCATATAGCACTGTATTATTAGACTTGAATGTTTTGTTATGTATCAAAACAACATTGTTTTTACTAGGATAAGTGCTGTTAAAAAATTTAAAATTTATTTTCAATCTGTCTTTGAAACTAAAACAAATTAAATTTGTTGCAATTGAATTGTCTTGTTGTTGATTCAGATCCTGTTTTCCCTTCATATCTAAAATGAGTGAAAGGTGATGAATAATGCCAGACTCCTTCAAAAAATTAGAAGTTACATCAAATTATTTATTAATAGAACACGACAGTAAAGCAACACTGACATAACATGAGAAAGTTAAGATATGGCAGCATGACTAGGTCCAATTATATAAATTACATAAACTCAATTTAAAATGACAATAAAAGTTTTACAGTTTAAATGAATTAACAATTGGGTAACAAAATGACATAGAGAGCATCCAAGCAGCGACTTGTACAATTACCTTAGACTCATAAACAATTAATTAAACTACTTACATAAGGTGGTCACATATAGTCTTAATTTTCAGTAAAAACATAAGACACATTAATAGCATAAAATTTTCAGTAAAAACATGAACACATTAATAGTAGCATAAAGCTGAAGGTACATTATACCTTCCAAGCCAGAATGGCATCATCAATTTCTTTCTTGCAACTAATGGGATCCGCAAGTGCAGGAATAGATGAGCCATAACCATCTGACAAAGTCACCTGATAGGCGAACCAGCAAATAGAAACCCCCCAGAACACTGGCTGATAATCAAAATGGCGCTTGACGCTCCATTTGTTTATAGAAGGGAAGCAATTCCTCATGTGGCAAACCACAACAGATAGAAATTTTTTATCAAATCTAGACAAATTATCACCAGGTGAGGAAAGCGGATTATACATTATTAGTTCACAGGAGTGAACACACACAGCCACACAAGACCAATTCCCCTCATGGTTTACAGGAAGCAAAACAAATTTATTGTGTGCAATGTTTGTGGTTTCATTAGCACTACCTTCATATAGGCGAATAGAAAAAGAATTGTCATATATATGCAGGAGCTCATTACTAAGTTGCAATACATTGAAAAATCTTTGGATAATTCCAGCTTCATCAGGAAGTTCTTCAGGGACAGTATTTTCTGGCATATTATCTTCAGTGACATAAGACTCCTCTGGCATATCAACATCATTATCTTCTGGCATTTCATCATCTTCATTGTCTTGGAATAGAAACTGTTTTATTTCAGCTGCACTCTTTCTTGAGGGTCGTTGGAGAGTTTTCTTCTTCCGCTTCTTTACTCTTACAAAAGATTTTACTTGCTTCTGAAGCTTTTCATTTGGACCTATGGAAACCTGTTTCTGCATGACAGTCACCTGGTCCTTCAAGCCGCCTTCAGTAAGTAATTTACATTGAGAGTTTAAATCAGTTAACATACTTTGAATTCGAGGAAGCATAAACTTTTTCACTGGGCTATTCTCAAGTTGATTCTCAACCTCACTGATTGTTTCCTTAATTAATCTAATTTTCTTTTCCAGAGAATCAGATTTATCATTAGGGGCTTCTTCATCAGGCAAAACAGGTAGGTTTAAATTATCAGCTGCATAAAATATGGGTTCTTCAATGGATTCAAGTGGTGGTTCTGGTGGGTCCACATTCAACATCATATGAACCTTGTGAATGTGCTTACATGGTGGTGTCAGATCCGGACAAGTGCAACTGTACATGTGGGTGCACATTACACATGAAGTACACATAAAAACACACAGTGTTTCTTCACAGGCTTCTGAACACCTTGTTACAGTGTACTCTTCAACAACATCTTTATTCTGACTGCGAACTGAATAAAAATTTCCTGTTATGTGGGTAACATCTTCATCCTTTATCTTCTTTCCTCTTTCATGTCGATCTTGAATTTTTTTGGTGTCCTTAGCAGATAATGTTTCGGTCTCCTTGGCATTGTACCATCTTGTGAAGAAATCTTCTTCCATCTGAAGCAGTAGGTCAAGCAGGTCATCAATACGACGATTAGGAACTCTTTTCAGATAGACGGTTTTCAGCTGGTTGTGAAAGGACTCCACAAGCATAGTGGTCTCCACAGACCCATGAGGAATTCCAATTCTGAAACACATAGCCCACTTGGGAGCTTTAGGCATAAATGTCTCATTAAACCATTTTGTGAATCCCTTAGATACTGCTCCATATTCTTTGAGAAAACTTTCTCTTATTTTGTGAAACTCACTCTCAGTTCTAGCTTCAATGAGCAAACAAATAACTTGATACATTTCATCTACAAGTTTTGGGTCCTTTATATACTCTCTGAGCTTTGCCTGAACTGTGCGATGAATATGCCATATGCACAATATGTGCCAAATGTCCTCACCAAATCCAGATCTCAAACCGTTTATGAGGGCAGGATCATCGTCTGTGATACAGGTACCAATTGAAATTTCAGGGCATCGTTCTTTGATGGCTTTGTAGAAGAACTGAATAGTAGCTTCATCTGACTTGCTAGTAATAAGGTGCCCAACAGGATATCCTAAATTATATTCATCTTTGACAACCAAGTTCAGAAGTCTGTAGTCATAATGATTAGTTCCGTGGGTCTCATCCATAGCTAGAATTACTTTGGAATGTTTCTCCATCATTTCAAGCTGGTCAGAAGTCTGAATACCCAGTAAAAACACATCCTCAGGAAGGTGTTCTGACCCCTCTGGACCAATAACAGTCTTTTCTCCTTTAGGCTTATAAATGACAATGGGATTAAATGATTCCTCTGAGAGGATGTTGACTTTCATATAAACAGAATTGGCATCATCATCAGAATACCTCAACTTGGCTTTCTTCTTCCTCATTCTCTCAGTGACATTTTTTACCTTCACAAGATTCTCTTTCCTTAGAGGTCGTTTTTGCTTGCGGTTTTCCCTCTTGTATGAGTCATCTCGCAGATTTAAAACAATCTTCCGAGGTGGAACACTCCACGCAAGTTGTTTGTCAATGAAAGACATAGTTTCAGCAGAAAGCGGCTGGTGCTTCAAATCACGAGGTCTGCATTTGTGGGTATGTGATGGGTAAAAGCTTGCTTTCACTGAACCATCTTCTTGACAATGAGCTGAAATCATGGACAAACATAATTTGTTTTTCTTGATGACACCCTTCACATTTTTACGGCTAGTTAGGCGAGGGGGCTCTCTACCCTTTCTGTGGGGCTTTGAGTTTCCATCATGCTGACAGTAGTAATATAATTTCCCATCACGTTTACCATACTGCTGCGAATAATAGGAAAATGATTTGGCCTCCATATCAGTTTTCCATTTGACAAAGGCATCAAGGGAAGGAAATTCCAAATGTGTAGGTGATTTTAAGTCCTTCTGGTGAAAACATTGAAGATGCTTGTACAAGCTGGTTTTAAATTGAAAATCTTGAGCACAACCAGGTACAATGCAAGGAATCCTCTTTGAATCTTCACCTTTTTCTTCAGATGGAACTGTCTTGCTCTGGCATCTTTGAGAATGACCCTGAAGAATATAACGTCGAGCAAATGATTTTCCACAGTGCAGACATGAATGTAAATTGTTCTGCTTCCCAGACTTTTTGCAGATTTTCAAATGTCTAGCCAAACTTTTTGATGCCGTAAATTTGGTTTGACAAAACTGACATGACACAGCTTTGCTTGTGGAAGCTTCGCCATCACCTGCTGTCAAAATAAACTTCCTATAAATTATGTTGGTTTATAACATGATCATTGATTTAAAGCTTAAATGGTTCCAAACCTTTTGAAGATTTAGCCGATTTAGCCTTCCTTGAAGATGGCTCGAAGTCTGATGACAAATCAGCATCATCTGCAATTGAGAATGGTCCATGTTGTAAAGAGAAATTTCATAGCAAAACAGAATCAGTAAGTTAGTGGGGCAGTCGATACCCGCACAACAAAAAAATTATTACTCATAGCAACTTTAAAAGACAATCTATCAATCACAAAAATCCCAAAGCGACTCAAAATGATGCAGCCTCGAGATTTAATTCTTTAAATTGATCAAGAAGTAGCCAGAAAATTGGGTGTTGCTACCAGAGCGAACTTACCTTCATCAGGGGATGGGTCGGCGGCGAGAGACATGTTGGATCTGGATAACAGCACATAGAAGTTAGGGTTAATCGAAAGTCACGGGCACATTTGACGAGAACAAAACTCTGGAAGTTAGAAACAGGGATATGTACACACTCAGAGGGTTCAAAATGACCTGTTTGTTCCCTCCGAAAACGAACTTACCGAATAGAGCTGCCAAAGGAGAATGGCTATGACCGCCAACGGTCGGTGCCCCTCCGTACACACGGGAAAGGGAACAATATGGCAACATGGCATGGCACCCACCAGCCCTCCCTGGTGCTTCGTTCTATCATTTTGCGCTTCAGTTGGTATTCGTAGAACGCAACGCACCCCACCCCTCCCTCCCCCTCGCCGCGCATACCTTGACAATCTTGACGTGCTCGAGCGTGTTGAAAGTCTAGTCTTGCGTTCGATCAAAGTAAGTGTTCGTAATCTACTCCTTGTGATCATTCGCCATCTCTTTACTACGTTTTTCTCATCTGGTACACCTCTTTGATTGAGGCCAAGTTTTCCTTTGACAGTCGGGAACTGTGGGCCTTCTTGTCTACAACTTCCATTTGAGATCCTAACCTGTCGACGTATTTCAATCAATCGTTTGCCGGTTGCTTCGTGCTGAACGTCCTGTTTGCAATCAGGTTGTTTGGTACTTCACATGACTCAAAAACAGAGGGGTCCTAAATTGTACTAGTGCACTTTATGCACTGAATTTTTTTGTAGTCTATCGCAGCTCACCTGCTCTTGCATTTTCTGTCAATTCCACCTGGTTTGGGAGAACCAAGTTAACATGCCCCTGTAGTCAATTTAAACGCGAAGATTTCTTTCGCAGAAACCCTATGCAAAGTAAATCTTACAATTTTGAAAGTCTTCATACCTATTAGTCATGCTCTTATAGCTATCTGCATCATTAATTTGTTTTGTTTAAAGTGTTTCCTGGTGTTCCCTGCCAGCAGTATTTTTATTCTCCCAAGCAATGATTAGAATTGAGTTATCTCCTTCCGCTTCATAGAGAGAACAGCAAGTCAAATCTATGTCAAAATGAACTCAAACGATGTTGGAGGATGTCGTGTTGACGTCAGAATGTCATCCTTAGACATCATTATGACCTCACCTTGACCTGCTTGTTCTCCTTGGGCTAGGTCACTTATGCCTATTAAGTTGTACATTGAAAATCTTTCGGTGTTTCAGGATGTTCAACTGCCTTATCTGCCGAATCCACACCCCAGGTGTAACGATGTGCTACACCAAATGTCAGCATTTTTTCCATCACAAGTGTCTACAGGAATGGATTGCTTTGTGTAGCGCCACAGGTAGAGGAGAAATATGTCCTGTCTGTTGCCGACCTGTCCTGATTGAAGATAGTATTGTGGTTCAAACTTCCCAAGAAGACTGACTTTGTCTTAATAGAAATGTAAAGTACTTCTGATCTTAATGCATAAAGGTACTTTATAAATTTTCACTCTATATGTACTTATTTACCTCAGTATAATCTTAACATTTTTAGGTAAGAAAATTTAGTGTCTCTAAACAGATACAGCACGGCACACTTTTCATGGAGTTGATCTACCATGATAATTAATTGCACTTTTCCTGGGATAAATTTACCATGACAATTAAATTGAGTAGAGCTTTGTGGTTTGTCAACAACAGGCCAATTAGAATTTGACAGAGTTGAAGAGAGAAATTTTACACACATTCTCTGTTTTAACTAGTAACTGACAAATTTTAAAACATGATGAATAGACCACAAAAACAATGTATTCACTTTCTGGGCTGCAGGTGAACGAAAGACTTTTACATCCAATATATGGAACCATTTACTGGAACTCAAATGTTGTTAACAAACAGTAATCAAACCCTCCTTGACATAATGTGTAGACGGACAATAAAGGTCCAAAGTTTGATGACTTATTACATGAACCAAAACATTACTCAACACAAAATGATGACACACATTCCTTAAGTTAAGATTTCAGGCAAATAAATGATAGTAAATAAAAATGCAGTCATCAAGTTTCTTATCTTTTGTGATTGCGTTTCACTTCTGGCCTCTTGAAGTAGAAGAAGAAACCGGAAAACAGACATCGTAGGTGGATGACAATGAGTCTCCATGAGTCCTCTGTTCAGTTGCTCAGTCCATTTCAGATTCAGATATTTGTATTCCTACTAATCATCCTTCAATGTAAGTCGTCTCAAGTGTGAGGCATCTTCCAAAGGCCGTGAAAAGCCACCCTTTTCTTCTGATTTATAAATAACAACCGACTTCAAAGAATTGCCAACATCTTATAAGACGGATGATCCAAACTAAGAAGGTAAAAATTTGGTTAAACTGCAACGTTACTAGAAAAAGAAAGGGAAAGCAGTGGGCTGACATGAATCAGAATAATGTATTGTGTAAGGTTTTGATCATTGTTCATCAATTTGCTTTTCCATCACCATGTTTCTTGTCTGTTTGAGTACTTTTGCTTGTGGAAAAGATTCACCTGCCTTCAACAGTACATTTATAATGTAGATATTTAAACTGTCTTTACCAGAAGATGCACTAGCTCCCAATCATTTGTCCTTTGTATTTTTATTTGGTGTGGACTCTGAGTTTCTTTTCAAACCGAGTGTTGTCTGCCCTAATCTTGTCCAACAACATTCAGGGCTAGCTTGAAAACGAACATCTTGTTACATTCCTTTTTGACCTGTGTTAATAGAGTTCTAGGGCATGTTTTTTTCAATGTTTCTTATGTTTACCTGTCGAAGTTATCTTGGCCCCCAGCTTTCCATTGGGCTTTTTTTATATGTAATATGTGGCTGTATTATGAAGTATGTGTGTTTCATTCACCTTGTATGTGCTCTCATCACCCATGTCGCATAGCCACCTGTGCAGCGTCAAACTTTCCTCATATTAAAATGAAACCCATTCAGTAATCTAGCACTCATTTCACTGATCCTCAACTTGGAAACATGTCTTGAAAACAGAAAGCTTTAAGGTGAAATCAATTATTATTATTTGTGTCATCTCCTGAAAGTGGTGTACGTTACCAGTCAGAAATTGTAAATCAGGTAATTTCTTTTTTAAATTAATTGTTTTTGTTTTTCTTAGTTCCTAGTTCCTTTCTAGTGAGCTTCCAAAAATAAGACAGTCTGATGGGGTCTTAGTTTTTGCCATCGCTCTAGTTTTTTAATTTACAGGCGTGAATAAAATTCACTGTTAGATTAGACTCTCCTGTGCCAAGTATAATGTGGTCCCTTCCGTTGCCAATGCCCAAACCGCCGCATAAGACGGCGGGGTCGGTAGCACGTCCTCGTAGCACGTTTGTATCGCTTGGCGCGCTAGCAGCGCGTGGCTGCCGCGGTCGCACGTCGCAGTCGCATGTGGATTGCAGGATTGCCAATCGTCCCGGGACGAAGCTAATTTTTTTTTTGTATTTGTCCCGGCGCGTAAAAATTATACATGCATTTAAGTATGTCCAGTTTATTATTACTAGTATCTCGCTGTGCATTTGAGTTCTGGCTTTCTGATTTGATAGATGTGCTCGAAAGACGCCATGGTCCGCAACAGTTTGGTATTCCTGGAACTATTAATTTCGCCTCCGTTGGCCTCCGTTCAACTTTGGCGCGCCCTAGAGCCACTTTCAAACTGGCTGCAGTAGAAGGGTGAAATTTTGTACCTTGTCATGAGACGTACACAAAGTAACATGTAAGCACTAAGCAGTTGGGTGGGTCAGTGATCCGAATTATTTATGATGGGGGAAGTTCATGTAATCGAAACCCCAGAAAACAACAAATCCTTCAGGATGATACATTTGCTGAATCTTTAAAATGTTTTCACGATATCAAAACAGAAGTGATACCTTAAGCCCAACTTCTTTCATCCATCATCCATTCGAATTAGTTCAGTGCAACATACAACCTAAATTTAACAGCCTGACGGCCAGAAGGCACATGTAAGCAGAATGTCAGTAACGCGTCGACGACGTGTCACAACCTCCAGAACGAAAGCTAACTCGCATGCGAGTCCCACCCTACTTAAACACCTGAAATAGGTCGTAAATATCATTCCAGGCTTTAAAAAGAGCAAGAGTTAAGCACAGTTAAGTCGACCAGTCTGCAGGTCTGCAGCCGACGCCGCCACTTCAGGACTGCGAATAAAGGCGTCCCCTGTGCTCCTATTCACAGTTCAGACGCATATTCGCAGCACCGTGACGTCACACGCGGCTCGTGCCTAGAACTTGACATAAGGCGCAGGTACTTGTGCTTTGCTTTGTTTGTATACGTACGTGCTACGTGCCACTGTAGCCACAAGATGCAAGATCAAATTGAGGTTGTCTCTTTAACGGAGGCCGATTTATTTCGGCTTTCTAATTATGTCGACGGATTGATTGAATCTAGTGAACGTTTCAAGGACGACGGAATCCTGCTCGTACGTAAATAGTCGCTCAGGAAATATTTGTGTTTCTTTTCTATATCTAGATTGAAGTTTTGCTGTAGGAATGTTCTATTACAATTGATTTATTAATTTCATATTGTAACTCTCACTCATAATTTTATTTTTTTGTCTCTAGTTTGATGTTGCTGATAGTTTTGGCAAGGGAACATCGCTGGAAGAATTTTTCCAGAAGTACGGAGATGAACTAGAGGACTCTTTGAAGAGGATAAATCCTATCCATGTACCTCAAAGCAACAAGTTTTACGGACACATGGCTTTCTCTTCTACAGTACTGGACCAAGAAGAGGTCGAATCCTGTGTTCGAGTTTTGGATACACCATCAGAATACGTGGTTTCGCCCAGTAATTGCTGGTGAGTAGAATGAAGGAGCCTTGAAGTGTGATCCGAAGCTATTTTGTATGAATATTAATGCTTTCCAATCTCTTGTGAGAAAATTGCTTAATAAAACATGAGGAAAATGTGTGACAAGCAAACCTACACTTACTTGTTGTGGAGGTTACATAAAAGTTATATCTTATGTGACACAAACTTTTGTGACCATTAGCACTAGTGTTCACAGTATTACCTTCTTACTGCTCTTACTACTAGAGATAAAAAATTAAAAATAAAACAAAGAATTCATGGCTTTAAAATTTTTGAGACTTTAATGACTTTAAGCAGTATTAAAATAGTTCTGTACACACTTGAATACTCTTAATGATACCAGACGTTAAAAGGGGACAAAAGGTCACTGCTTGATTGGTTCAGTTAATCTTATCTTATCCTTTTGTTCAGACCTGTTCTTTCCTTTTTCACAGAATTTTGTTTTACTCTTTTCAGCATGTCTGCAATGAATAAGAATGGTGTCGCCGGGCTGCTCTCTCATTACTTTGATGAGATGATTCCGGCACATGCTAGTTATCCGCCTCAGTTTCTTTGTTATGATAATCTCAGTAAGTTGCGCAAGAAAGCAGCAGCCAAGAGCAGAACTTTCAACAAGACTAAAAAAAAAGTAGAATCATTCATATCCGTTGCTGATAAGGCTGCTGAAATGTCCCGAATACTAGATAGTGCAAAACGCAGGAACAAAGAGGAAGCATCATTAAGTGGCTGCTGTTCTTGCTGGATGTGTGTCTCCTCTGATGAGGTTCTGGTTGAAGAGGAAGATGGTCGGGGACTGAAGCCTGCCCTGCAAGAGACAGCAAATTATTACAGAGGGAAAGGATTCATGTATGCAAGTGGAGTAAATGTACAGGCAGAGAAACGAAACAAGGTCTCTGCAAATTTCTCCCTCTCTTTTCTGTATCATCTTACATTTACAAGTCTTCTGGAAGGATCTTTCCCAGGCATCAATTGCCCTGATCTTTTTTTTGGTTTCATCCACTCGTTCTTTCCCATTCACATCAAAGATCTTTCCCTGTGGAGTGTGAGTTTTCTACACCATGGATATCCAAGACTGTGGTATGTAGTTCACTTGAAGCAACTTGATCCAGGAAGAAGAGGACAAAAAAATCTGACTTTTTCACAAATTGATCTGTGACAGATTTGTGGTGCCTCAGAATGATGTACATACAGTCACAATTTTGTTTGTCTTGATTCTGGGTAGTTTCAGTGAAAATCCACCAAGGAAAAAGTTAAAAGTCAAATAACTAATTGTTATTATTAAAATTTCCAGAAAAAAGAGGTCATATGGCCTGCATGACCCCATATATGAAGAAATTGTGCCCAAAATATGAAAAAGTGTAGGAGATAAGGTGACTTGTGTCTTATTGTCAGAATTGTGAAATTAAATAAGTCATCTTATCTCCTGAATGGCCCTTAAATTTAAAATGGCTATCATGATTAAAATAATGCTCTACAACATTCAATCTAGTTTTCCCTGCAATAGCTTCTGCTTCCTGGATCACCTATAAGGCAACGCTGCCTTTGGAACCGTGCTATTTCCCTGTAAGTCTTGTTTCAAAGTTAATGTGGACCTGTTTTCCTTTTCCTTAGGATTGTTGTTCCTCCGTCTTCTGTCGCCAAGCTGCAGTTCTTCCTGTCAAGGGAATTTATTGGCTCGGGGCATGGTTCATGTGTCGGTATTCTGGGACACAAATACCATGTACCTACACCCTCATGGTTGAAAAAGAATGGCATACCCTTTAAAGTGGTGAGCTTTCTCTTATTATTTGCATTCTTCTTCCCCACATGTACTTGATACTTTGGAAAAACTTCATTTTTTTCTCAGGTTATCCAGCAAAGAGGCCAGGGTATTATTGTTGCACCGAATGCAGCTCACATGGGATTCAACTTGGGCCCAAATGTGGTCGAGTCTATCAATTTTGCATCAAGAAGCTGGATTCCATTTGGCATTGTGTATCCCAAATGTACTTGTATGTGAGTATTCTGAATTTTCTTTTCATGTTGATTCTTCAATACTGTTTCATATCTTTTTAATGTTTAGGGCAGGTCAGGTACATGCAGACCTCTCTACAATTATAAGTACCTTTTCTCCGGACATGCTTCCAGCATACCTACATCAGAAAATTCCAAGCACAAAGGCACAGGCTCATTTCAACAAGTGTATTGTTTATCCCCAATTGTGGAGGGAAGCATTTGTAAGTCTTTTTTCATTCTTTTTCTAACAAAGCAGAATTTATTGTATTGAAAAAAAAATTCCCTGCTTCTTGTAATTTTCCCCATCATTATGTCATCGCAAAGTGTAAAAAATTACTTATTATCTTTTTAAAAGTACTTGTGTTACAAGTCTAAGTTTAGAGGTTTAAGCTCCTTTCTACGTCATCAAGTCACACCCTTAGGAAACTCAGAAACTAATGGGGCCTTCAACGTTGGGAACAAACACATCTACTAGTTATTTAACTTTAACTGCACTGCAAAATAAGCTTCCTGTCACAAATATTTTGACGAAATCTAAGTTTTATGTTACACTATTCTTAAACCAGATATAGGCTTGACAACAAATATGTAACACAATTTATTTGCATTACAGGAGTCTGCTGGTTCCATAGATGTTGAATGTCAGCCACTTAATGCTTCTGAGGAAGATGGTCCCACCGTGAAATGTTATGTTAGTGTGAAAATTGATGACAATACAAAAGTTGCCAAGGTGCCTCTGCAGCCTAATCCCATGAAGAAATTTCGCAATAGAAAGGCCATCATTTGCCCAGTGTGCTGCACAACATACAGTGGAGGACAAAAGCAAAGACTATTTGATCACTTTAAAGCTGCCCACTCCCAACTGCCCGACGACAAAAGAAGAAGAATGGAAGGCTTGCTTAAAGCTATGTTTCCTGAGTGGGGAACGAAACTCCCCAAGAAGACTTGTATAAGGTGTGGCAAGTTAGTTGCTCGGTCCATGAATAAACACCAACAGAGCAGCGCCTGTAAATTGCCTGAACATACATGATGGTTGGGTGTGTGGGTGAAAACGTGTTCCAAAATTGATTAAAATGATAAATTTTATTCACTTGTTATTTTAAAGTACAATATTCTTTTATTACCGACAGCATGTTCTAAAGGTCTGTGTTATGAACCCCTAAGTGAGTGGTTCGTCTAACATGGACTGATGTATGTATGCGCCTAAGGTATAGGGGTTTAGGTAACTTCAAAACAAATTTCAGATCATTCCGTCAAAAAACTTTGTGTGGCAGATCTTTCTACTAAATGCTTAATTTCAATGAAAAAAGCCTACTGTGGCTAAATGGGTGGGTAGATTTGGATGAAATTTGGTGTGTAATAGTTTCCTACCTAGTACTTAAACGCCCTAAATTTTCGACCACCACAGCCAATTGGTATAGAAGTTTCCATTTTCACCCACACCTCACCTTAATATGTAGATTAGTCCTGCTTGTGACCTCTCCACTACAGATTTTCCTAGGTTTGCACTCACCAAATATGTCAGAAATATTATCTCTACTATTTATTATCTTGGTCATTTGTTCATTTGGAACTGAAACTATGTTGTAATATGTCAGGAAGTGCAAATTTCATTTGAAGTGATGATTTCAAAATGCATAAATGTACTTCTTAAATTTTCACCGCATTTATACTTATTATCCTTTTGCAAATTCTAACCATTTTTGTATAAGAAAATGAATTGGCATTGAACAGTTAACGCACAGAAGCACAATATTGTTAGAGTTTGGGGCGGAGAGAAGAGAGGCACGTCTGCACTGTTTGATGGTTTATTGCCGATTGAAGCCGGGCGTACAGGGGTGGTTCTAGTGGGGTTGCCGGGGATACCGGGTAGGGTGCCGTCGCGATAGGGTGGCCACATGGCCGACGCGGATACGAGGGGAACCTCTACATTATCCTCCCTGTAGTACGCGATCACGCGCTCCACTCCGTCTTGGACCTGTGACAGAACGCAGCCGACGGCGAAGTTCGACGCGTCGCAGTCCAGCACGAAGGGGCCGCCATTGGGGTCCGGGTAGGCCAGGATCGGGGCCTCGGTGAAGGCGCCGCGCAGCAGGTCGAACGCCGCCTGCGCCTCAGTCGTCCAGGTGAAGGGGACGTCATGCGAGAGCATCGCGTTGAGTGGCGCGGCGATGCCGGCAAAGTTGGGCACAAACCGGGCGTAGTACTGCGCGAGGCAGACGAAGCTGCGTAGCTGCGTCTTGTCCCGCGGTGTGGGCCAGTCCCGGACTTTGTTGGCCTTGTCTGGAGCCGAGGACACTCCCTTGGCGTCGATGACGTGCCCGAGTTACTCCAGGCTGCGGCTGAACAGGCTTCACTTCTTCGGGTTGAGCAGGAAGTTGGCCGCGCGCACGCGGGCCAGCACCTCGCGCAGCCTGGACTGCGCCTCGCTGAAGGTGGCCCCCGGGATGACGATGTCGTCCAGGTAGACCTGGGACAGGCTCCGCGGCATCAGCCGGTCCATCAGCCGCTGGAACGTGGCGGGGGCGTTGCAAAGGCCGAACGGCATGCGCTTGAACTGGTACAAACCGTGGCCGGGCACGCAGAAGGCGGTCTTGGGGCGTGCACGCGGCGCCAGGGGGATGTTCCAGTAGCCCCATCTCAAGTCCAGGGACGAGAACCACTGGGCGCCCTGGAGGGAGTCCAGCGTGTCGTCTATCCGCGGCAGCGGGTACGCGTCCTTCCGCGTCACCTCGTTGAGCCGGCGGAAAGTCGATGGCGAACCGGGGCTTGCCGTCCTTTGTGACCAGGATGACGATCGGCGAGGCCCAGGGTGAGTCCGACTCCTCGATGACGTCCTGGTCCACCATCTCCCGGATGCAGTTTTCCGCCGTCTGCTGCTGGAGCAAGCCGAGCCACCTCGGTGCCTGCTTGATAGGCGCCGAATCTCCGGTGTCGATGTCGTGCTCGACGAGAGTGCAGTGCCCGATCTCACCGCCGCACGAGAACACGTCCTAGAATTCGAGGAGCAACTGCCGGGACACGCGCAGGTCGCCGAGGTGGGTGCCGCGGGGTGCCGCGGCGCAGTGTCAGCGGCCGGTCGGAGTCGTTGCGCACGGTCACAGCCAAGGCACGGCCGTCGCCGTCGGCAAGCAGCGTGCTGGTCACCGTGAGGCCGGGGAACGACGCGCACCGCGTGCGCAGCACGCGCACGGGGGCGCCAAACCAGAAGCCACGCTCCCGCGATGCCTCAACGGGTCCACACGTGAGCTCCCTCGGTGCCGCCACGGGTTCACACGGGCGTTCCCTCGGTGCCGCCACGGGTTCACACGGGCGTTCCCTCGGTGCGCCCACGGGTTCACACGCGGCATCCCCCGACACAGCGTGGCGACAGTGTGCCCAATGCCGTCTCTGACGCCTTCCAGGACGACTCGTCGGACTCGGTGCCGGCGATGACAGCTGTCACGTAGCAAGGGCCGCGGAGCCCATTGCCGGCCTCTGATCTCCGCCCCTAAAAGCACCGCTCCGTTCCGGTGCGCCCGCCGAGTCGAGCATAGGCAACCCGCTCGCCCCCGGTGCGCGCGAGTGCTCCTGCTCCGGATCGAGCGATCGAGCCGATGCCACGCAGAAAGCAACGACCAAACCACCGATTGCAACCAATCACCACGCGGCGCCTGCGTGAGGGGACTGCGCCTCCCGGAACCGGTGCCACACGTGTGCAACGCCCACCTAGCGCTGCCATTTACGCGATACCGACGCGGCAGCCCACCGCCCACGCCGAGCAGCGCGGAACCGCAGCTGGATGCCCGAGGCGACAGCACAACGACTCAGTGACAGTGGCCAGCCCATAGGGCTCGTCCGACAACCTGGACCTGCATCCCCACGCACCACAGCCTGCACCGCGAGGCCGCCAAGGGCGGCGCCAGGGAGCCGTTTAGGGGGCACTTCCGGGCACTTCCCCCTCGGCTCCATCAAGCAGGACACACAGCTCGACTTCGCCAACTATGTGTCCCTGTTCCGCGGTCCTTCAGGTGCGCGTCACCGACACGGCGCGACGCTTGCTTTCATCCCGCGCGTGACGGCGATTCGCAGCATGCTGGCGTGCTTGAGGTCCGCGAGCTGGTGCAGCGGCGCGAGCCTGACTCCATGCTGCACAGGTAAAACTAGAGCGTAGCTTCATTAAAGCGTACAAACTTCGCAAAACTATACGCCCTTCTAGAAGCCTCAAGGGAATTCCCCCCCCCTCCCAAATGCAATTACGATTGGAGGAAAGGAGCGGACGAGCTCTTGTGCGCTGCAAGAAGGGCGTACAGACTGCACGCTTCGCAAAAGGCGTTACTACGCCTTAGTTTTACCAGTGTGCGGGCGCAATGCTGCCTCTTGTTGGACGGCTTTGCGCACTTCATCACGGACAAGGACAACTACGCCTTCGTGAGCGTTCCCATGTCGCCGGACGACGCCACATGGAGCCAGCCCATCGCCTCCACCCAACACCTACCACACGGATCATCAGCTCAAGGGGAAGTCCGCGGTGGAACTGTACAAGCCAGGTGTGTGCCGCAGTCACCAGTGGCGGATCCAGAGGCGGCCTACGGGGGGGGGGGCAAAGTGGCACTTTTTGCCTACTTACAGGGGCAAAGTAGCACTTTGTGCCTACCTTTCAGGCGGCTATCTAGGGGCTGGGGGGGGGGGGGCAAAAACCCATTGCCCCCCACCCCCCGGTATCCGCCCCTGGCAGTCACCGCGCTTTCGTCTTTGGCAATTGTTGACGGTTGCTGTGGCCTGTTGCCGGCAGGTGCTGCTAGCGCTGGCTACGGGCTGCCGCTGCGTGGAGCTGGACTGCTGGGACTGCGACGACGGCACCCCTCTTATCTACCACGGCCCCACGTTCACCACCAAGATCCCCGTGGTAGAGGCCAGCAGAGAGTCAACCTTCGCAATGTCCCCCTACCCCGTCATTCTGTTCATCGAGAACCACTGCTCGCTGCGTAGCAGGCGCGCATGGCGCACATCTTCCAGGTAAGTCGTAAAATAGACTAGCACGTATTACAGCAGCTGGATTCTAGACAGAAGCAACAATATTTGAAAATGTTGAAATTTAACCTTTATCTTGGTTGCTTCAGTCGGTGTTCGGGTACTAAATGGTCTCCAACTGCCGTCGTTCTCGAAGCTGCGCAACACGATCCTCATCAAGAATAAGAAGCTGTTGGACGTGCCACCGTCGCTTGGGCTTCCCTGCGGTCACGCGCCTGTCCCCTCAACGCAGCGGGGTCGCAACGCCCGCAGCGCGTCCAGCAGGCAGCCATCAGCCATCAGCCTCATTCGTCCTCTCCTAAACCACGGACGGCTTCGTCAATGACTTGACGACGATGAGGAGAACATCCAGAGGCCACCGTACCAACTCCGTCTTGAGCCACGACAGTACGCCGCAGACGCTGCATGCACAAGATCAACGTGGTTGTGGTGCCCGCCCCCCATCCACATCGACTATGGGGCAACCCCACGAAAGACGAGTTTGGGCCGCAGAAGCTGAAGAAGCAGTCGCCAGGGAGCTGTCGGATCTGGTCATCCACGACAATCAAGAACAAGTCCCCCAGCGCCTCCTGTGTGCCGGGGACGCCGCCATCAACGGGGCAGGAGGCCGTCGCTCTCGGGCAACGCGGTCGCAGTCACCGTGGTGGATCCCACGCGCACGGGCCGCGTCAGCCCCTACCACCCCTGCTACAAGAGCAGCTCCCTCAACGAGAACAGCGCCAAGAAGCTGTGCCGCAAGCAGCCCATCGCCGTGCTGGCCCACACCGAGACCAAAGCTCATGCGCACCTACCCCGCACCTTCCCGCGGCCGACATGCGCGTCGATTCGTTTCTGGTGCTTCTGCCCAGATGTTGGCGCTCAACTACCAGACCGAGGGCCATCTGCATGGGCACCTGAACTAAGCTGTGTTCGAGTCCAACGGGCGGTGTGGATTCGTGATGAAGCCACCGCTCATGTGGGGTCGCTCCCACGTGATGTACCGCCACTTCAACCAGGACGCGACAACAAGTTCGACGG